TAAAATAGGGTCTTCCTAACTTTCTTAGGCTCAGCTCAAACTTGGAATCCCCCACCTCAACTTTGCATAATTTGGGGATCGCTAGTGTACACCACTCTGCTGGATTTGGGGGTTAACTTTCAGCATAAATTTTGGAGGGCCACAATGAAACCACAGTGACAAGTGACCTTGTATATCTGAGTCTTTCTTCTCTTTATGGACAAGAATACAGGGCTGAATGAAGAGTTTCTTGGCAGAAATATGACCCCAGGGACAAGCCCAGATAGCAATGAATACACCTGGTCCTTGCTTGCGTTTTGTGGTCATTATGGGAAAACCAATGAGAGAATAAATGCAAAAACTTAAAATTATTATTATTATTATTATTATTATTATTATTATTATTATTATTGTCATGCAGTACTAGGGATTGAACTCAGGACATTGTGCTTGCTAGACAAGTGCTTATTCTATTGAGCTATTTCCCTGGCCCCAAAAAACTTAAAATTATTAATAAAATATATTGATCTAAGTATCCTTGTAGGAAAATGGACAAAAAATTATGGACAGCTGCTATTTGTCTACACTGCTCTTTGTTAGATTTACTGCATGTGTATGTACATTTTTATTTGCTTATTTATTTATTTTAATTTATGTATTTGGCACAGTGTCTTACTACACAACGTGGGCTTGTAATGACCTTCCTGTTTCAGCCTTTCCAGCACTGGGACTACAGGCCCATGCCACTATGTCCAGTTTTGGTGGCTGGCACAGTTTATGTGAGGCTGGGCAGGCACAGCTGCAGTACCAGGGTTTGAACCCAGTTACTTGAGCTTGCCTGACAAGCTCTTAGACCACTGAGCTATCTCCCTGGCCCTACTGCCATTATTTTAAGATTCAGTTTGATTATTCTTTAAGTTAGTGAAATGGTAAAAAAGTAACTTTGATTTAAAAAAAAAAAAAAAAAACGCCAAGCTGCCCAGCCTAGGCTCAAACTTGCTATCTTCTTGGCCGGGGAGATGGCTCAGTGTACAAGGGCCTGAGTTCAATCCCTGATTCCAGAAAAAAAAAAAAAAAAAAAAAACAGCCCTGTCTATTGACACATTTTTCTGGGTTAATTTTGGTTTATTCTAGGGGAAACATTCTGACAGAATATGAAAATGTGTTGGGGACCGAGGAGGGGAAGTGATATTTTACCCTATTCTATGAAAATAGCCAATGTAGGTGGTGCAGACATTGGCAGATTTTATCACGAGGCCACTGTTCCAAATGCAAGCTTTTCTGTCATGCTTTTTTGGTTTATTCACACAGTCAAAGGGGAAATTGGCAAATTCACTGAGCACTGAGAACTCCTGGGTGAGTGCTAAGTGTTCATGTTGCTTTTGAGTCAGATGGGTCCCTGCAATCTCATTTGAAACCCCACTGCCAAACTAAAATGGAGATTACCCTAGATATTCTGCATAATTGAGACAGCCAAGCCAAAATTGATTTAAAAATTTTCCTTCGTTGTAGAATTTGCTACTCACTAAACGTGCAGTCATTAGAGGCCATGCTGAAGTCTACAGCTGAGCTGTAGATCACCACGATGTGTAGAGGGCCACTTACCACTTTTCATTTTCAGATGCCCTGTCAGAGATAATCTTTAAGTGGAGAAAAGCATGATTTCAATTAATTTCTGGAGGTGGGCTGTCTGGAATCTCATTTATTTGATACTTTGAGGTCTGAAATTGTTCTTAGTCACAAAGATCATGGAAGCTCAAGAAACCCACAACTTCATCACTGTGATTTCATTATCTTCTGACCTACACTTAGAAAGAGCTCATTGTAGAAAATACATAGAAAGTGCAAAACACACCCACACAATTTGTGGCAGGAGTGACAGTTCCAGCATACTGTTATGACCTTGAAATGTTCCATTCAAGTGTTTCGAGATAACTGTTTTGGGGGAAGCTATTATTTTCATTTGAGTTGCAGCTTACTCTTGTTGCCCTCACAATCTTAGATTGTGGGCTTAGGACTCACAATCTCCCCTCTCAGGATCCTGAGTAATTGAAATAACAGGAGTCCCTCACAGTCCTAACATAGAGAATTACTTCTGATATAGATAACTTGATGCAGAAAACAAGAGTTCAGTTATGTGTTTATTGTGGAGAGTGTTTAAAAACAAGAAAGACACACCAGTGCACCTGAGTCACATGCATTTTCCTTTGTGATCATTTACCACACTTTCTAAAAGTAAGGGAGCATTTAGAGAAGTGGGTGTTAAATTGGTACTAATCAGCAGGGCTTCAGACTGCAGTTGGGTCTCACCTGCCTGCCACTGTGAGGCAGACAGAAAAGTCATTACCTCGCTGAGAAATTCATTTTTTTTTTTTTTTGTTTTTTGAGACAGGGTCTCACTATGTCATTTAGGCTAGCCTTGAATTTACTAGCCCAGGTTGGGACTGAATTTATGGCAATCTTCCTGCCTCCACCTCTTGAGTGCTAGAATTACAGGACTGTACCACCATGCCAGGCTGAGAAGTCTACTATTGATAATAAACTTCTCTATGTTTTATTAAGGGGAGGAATCTATGTGTTTTAGTCAGTCTTTTATCTTATGCACAATGCCTGGTCCAAAGCATCTATTTAATAACTGTAAAATTCGTAAATAAGAACTTGTTAATAAACACGAGGGGGGTTATCTCACTTAAAAAAAATGGGATCGCTCTGAGCTTGGGGTGTAGATGAGGTGATCTACCTTCTGCTAGTCTAGGCTTCCTTCGGACCTATTTCTTCTACATGTATATTCTGTCACTTGTCCTTTAGGTGTCCTCCTGCATTTGATATATCCATGCCAACTCACTTATGTGTAAAGCTGCATCTCTAGAAGTAACATGTCTCTCTTATGTCATAGATTTCCTTTGGCCCCTAATCCAAAATAAAATTTAAAGGTACAGTAGATACTGTGAAAGAGAAAGAGACTGTTCAAAGGGAAAGAACAAATGGAATGAGGGAAAGGAGAAAAGATAAAGGAGCAAAATATATAGGTATGTACACAGGATAGCTTGGGTAATTGTACCATTGATTTCTACTGTCTATTGAAAGGTTAATGCGTAATTTTAACAGTTAATACTTAACTTTTTTATCTTGGATTTAATATTTTGAGCAATTTTGCACATTTGTATCTAGTGATCTGAACAACTGATCTGAAAACAGCAATATGCAATATGACAACCATTGTTTAATTCCTATCACTTTTTTTTAGTGAAAGTCTGTTGTATTTCTCATGTCTTTTTTTTGAACTATTTTATGTTCACTTTTTTTTTATTATGTAAGGTTTTTCTTTTATTTAAAAGATCATTCACAAAATACCATATCCATAGATTTACTTTCTGTCATACAGTTGAATGTGTTGTTTGGAATTCCACCCTCAAAATCTGGAAGCCAGCTGGGTCCCCAGCGGTGTGGATGGATTTGTTTTGCTCTTGATCTTTCTGCGTTGAGGATGTGTGTGGGTCGTCTCAAAGAATCAGGTTTGTTACAACCACATAATGCATGTCTTTCTTAAGTTAGGTGTTGGTGTTACACAAATGGTTCTTATCTCAGAAGCACAGAAGATGATAGGCAGAGGGGAGAAACGGGAGTTCTGTAAGTTGCTGA